TATGAACCTCACGCTATGCCTCCAGCGAATTCCAGCCCGAACGTCTGGATTCCAGACTCCAGAAGCAAGTACGAAAGACGGCGATTACCAACTAACAAGATGGAACGGGCACCTCTTTGGAGAAAATGACAAATATGTCACTCAGCTTTACAAGAAATTCTCTGCCTTATATGGAACCTGAAGATGTTTCTCGTGTTCCCAAGAATTTACACCTGTGGACCCTATCCTGAAACAGATGAAGTTATATCACACGTTCACACCCCATCTATTTAAGATTAATTTTAATATTATTCCCCTTATGTATGATAAATCTCCCATCAGGTTTTCCGACTAAAACTGTGTATGCATTTTTCACGTTCACAATGCTTGATACCTATTCTGTCCACATCTTTCTGCAGGAGTTCATCTCTCAAGTTAACATTTTAGTGAAGAGTAAAAGTTATGAAGTTCCTATTTACCCTCCATCCTTGGTTCTTCTCGTTGGTGCAAACATTATCTTCACCACTTCCTTCTCAGACACACTCAATTAATAAGTAATTTCTGACTACGTTTTAAAATTGAATGTTTTATAATTAACTTGGGTGAATTTTGTTTCACCTCAAAAATATTAAAACTTACAGAAGCAAGGCATTCTTTCCTTCTACTTATCATACACCGTCCCTATTTTCTGCGGCAAATAAACCCAACATGAAAGACAAGTGGTTAATAAATGCATATCGGCAGGAACTTACAGCCATGGACTCCACAAAATGATCCCCTCATTAGGAGCTGACAAAGAGATTTATAATACCACCACTTGCTAGCACAAGACTGGAGGTCGCTGCCAACTTCAGCGAACGAAATATGACACGAGAGAAACTCGCAGTTTCGCTTATTCAGCATAAAAGATTGTAAGGGCTCATTAAAAGATGATAATTAATGAGTATAGAACTCTGTCGAGACTGCCAAAGCGTTGCTGTAGTAACCAGAAGATTTCTCGTTAGCAACAGCAGTCAGGAAAACAACATGTTACAGATGGAACGATAGAAAAGTAATAATTTTTATTGTATCGAAACTACTTCAAATTCTAGTCGACACAACTTAATGGAGTAGACTTCTCCTTGAGAAGCTGGCGGTCGCTCACTTAGTCAAGAAACTGCTCGCAGTCATAGAATCTAAAATGCCATTATCGTATTGGCAAGAAACCATTACTTGGCAATATTCTGATAAAACTCAGTATTATGAAACATACAACATTTATTTAAAGCGTTCTGATCTAATATAAATACTTAAATACACCAGAATATATATCAAAACATACATAAATCGTATGTTAAATGGTCAGAGCGAGAGTAAATGCATTTAGGCCGAAAACGTCAATGAAATGAAATCCAATTTTCGAACAGTCTTCAAAATAGTTTGATTTTTTTAAAAATTATAAAAATACTATGAAAATTTACAAACCCATTTCAGGCCGATGACTGATTTTGTTACATTGCAAATAATATAAAATATATGTCCTAAACCAGCAATCAAATTTTAGTTATAATGCTTGGAATTACACGCCTTTGGACAGGCACGGTATATAATGTATGGACGCATATAAATAATGAGAACCTTAAAGTAAATTAAACTAAATGAATATCCCATTCGTTAATACTGTTGCAAAAGAAGAGCCTACGTCGAGAGTCATAAAAAAAGATAATCATTAGCGCTAAATAAACATGTTTTGCCTAAATTAATTTGTATTAATTTGTATCGATATCTTCTGAGCCCTTTAAAATATCTTATTAAATCAAATAAGAAAGATAATGGAGACTATTGTAATAGCAGGCTACTACCTACATGACCGAAGGTTTGACCCCAACCGTCGCCAGAAATATAAAAATAATATAAAGTAATAACAAATCTGCCAACGTAATGAAAACGTGAAGACAGAAGTAGCAACTACTTCCCACGATGTGGCATACGCAGTATAAAAGAGGCCGCCTCAGACAGTGGACAAAATTCAGTATAATTCTGGTATAGTAGGTCTTTGTCACAAATCTTTAGAGAACTATATACTTGCTTATTTTCAATAAGTTCGCATCTTAACACAGTAATTGGAATATTTATAACGTACTCTAAATAATTCAAATTAAATGAAAAAAGGAAAAGAAGTAAATAAATTAGTCTGTACTTCGATGTTCATATAACGGGCGAATGGTAAAGCGGATCCACTACTATTAATTATGTATCCTGCTAAAAAGAATAGAAAACAGATGGGCATTTTGAATTTAAATCCACAATGCACAAGCTATTAAACCAATGCACTTTTATAACATCGAACTCCTGAGTAATCTCTATCAAAGCATACACGTACGTGTTTAACGAGACAAAGCCTTATGAAAATCCGTACTTAATTTCATCACTCAGTTTACAATTTTCAGTCTGAAACGATTAAAGCAATTCATTTGAGTTCTTCATCAGTTGACGTGTGTAACGAACGCGTACTTGTTCTGTCGTCATAAAATAATACCAGCATTTCATTATGTAAATGGCAGACAAAAGAACATTATAATCATGTGAAGGGGTAAAATAATATTATTTCCTGTAAGTTCTGAAACAACTTGTTACATAAAGTATATCAACATTGGTAAAAGAAGACGGAAAATAGGCCAATGATTTCAACTAGCGATAACCTTTCACGTCAGAAGTTACACGTTTTTCTACGGCGTGTGTAGGGATACGATACAGGGAACAAACCGGCAGTTTGCAAGGTCTCTCGTAACTATGGAAACATATTTTATTACAAGAAACTGTGTATTAACCAACCTCAGACTTCCTCAAAGTTACAAATTAATGCTGGGCTAAAAATTACAATATCGGAAAATATAACCTTTCCGGTTTACCGAACAGTTCGAAAATCACCCCAACAACAAAACTTCCTACGAGCTGTAGAGAAGGAAGAACAACGTCCCAGTGCCTACTTATGGTATGACGTCACAAACAGTTTAATTTCTCCGTAGTAGTAATACGTAAAAGAAATTCTATTACAGAGAAATCTTCTCCCCCTTCTTTCATTAGTTATTCCAGTACTGTCGCAATTAAGAACGCTGACGTAAAACGTAGAATAAATTAAATACGTACCCGGACGACATATTTGTAAATAACAGCACAGACTCGTTTTATTTTAGAAAACAAAACCGAAAGACGGGACAAAAATATAAGAAATAACAGAAGAAAAAATAAAAAAATGAAAGTTTTCTATTCGTTGTTGATGGCGAAACACAAGCACGCAAACAACTATTTAACGTCGATGTTGGTCTTCTGGGTTGTGACGCCGTGCAGACTCCAAGAAACATACGGTCCCCGTAAAGACCTCAAATTCTACATTCAGTTTTCGTCGGTTTATACACGAAGTGCTGTTTGATGGATCTGCTGTTTGACCTAAACACGTCTGAAGATAAAAGAAAAAAGCCTTAGTCAAGACAGCCGGTCTCCGTGTCGAGATTTAAGACCAGGACCTCCAGAATACGAAGCAGGAGGGCTATCCACATGGTCGAGACATTCTCTAAGTTACGATATATTTAAATCTTATCCTCCTGATATATTTTCTCAGCGGACTTTATTAATTACGTTTCTGATCAAAATTCTGTAAGAGAACGTGCGGAATTTTGAACTGAATTACAGGACTTCTTTTCCTTTCGTCGTTACAAGTTTATTGTCCTCTGAAACTCTGACACAGAAGTTTCTAACACAGTAACATTACGAAGGAGTTAAAATAACAGCATTCTCCCGGTTTCGTATTGCCTATTACAAGTTAACACAAAATGTACACGCTGAAAGTCCTCCTATGAACGTTTCACGGCTTTCCAGACCGCAGCAACATCGACGACAAAGAACCACATCCGTGGTTCCAACTGTCCGTTGTCGGAGCACGACAACGCACGGTCGAAGTGAATGTATAGAAGATGCCTATCACAATGCGCCGAAATAAATACGGTATGTGCCAGGAAAAACAATGAGAAATGAAAAACCTTTTCATTTTCATTCTTCATTTCCGTCGAATTTTTTTTTCCTTTGTGGAATACACAAAGCAGCCTACTTGAAGTACGAGGCTATAATGTCCTCCGAGAGTAACTTTTTTCAATTATCAATGTTTTCCATTGTATTTTTTCGTCACTGTGAACCACGGCCACACGCATTAAAGAATGAGTGACGTATGATACCAAACACCTTATGGTTTTCATATTTATGCTTCAGAAACGTGTTTTTGAAGAGTTTCAAACACACGTGATACACAGTTAATTTCAAAATAAAGCGTACTTTTCGATCGCCAAGTACATTACAATCGTGTTGGAATCGCCTACATATGACAATGGTATAAAAATCGACACACACATCTACGCAGTTAAAAG